TGTGCAGAAGCTTTTTATTTTGATGAGGTCGCAGTATTCACTGTTTTACTGTATTAATGAAATACCTTCAGTCCTGAATTTGATCAGAGTAGAAAAATGTTTTTTCTTTCCTATTTTCTCCATTCAGTAGATTAATCAGACTGGAACCTTAAACTTTTCTTCTAGAAATAACCTGTCCTATTTTTTCTTAGCATGAGACCTAATGTATATTGCCTCTTGGGGAAGAATTTTAAACAAACACTCTAGTATCTAGAAAAGTATACATTACTCATTAGCACTGCATGATTTTTCTTTAAGTGAAACCTCCTTGCCACCATCTATTATGTTTCAAATACTTTACGGCTAATTTTGTTCACACTGTAGCTAACAATATTGTAGCACACAATACAAAAGAAAAAAAAAATTCCACAGTCAAAAATAGTCATATTTTTGACTCCAAAATACTGCAAGAAAATACTTTTGGATGCTGATATTGGATTGGAAGAACTAATGCAGAATGGTAAGTTCCAGATAGCCTTGTTAACACAGTGAAGTTTGAAGCAGATGTCTGTGAAAATATTTCTTCCATCTCCTCCTTCTGGAACATAATTTCCATAAGGGCAGTGGTTTTTCTTTCATTAACTGTTGTATCCATAAAGCCTAGAAAGTAATACATACTCAGTAATTTTCTTTCAATAACTGAATACATATTCAACCTCAGAGAACAATAAGAAAGGAAGAACTAAGCCAGACCTAAGCCAGGCCCGTATACACACCCATGCTTGTGCTCACACTGAGAGCACACACGCTTCAGGTGCTACACACCTTCCCACCCTCCTCCTGTCTTGGTCTGTAGGGACGGCAGTCTGGGACCATACTTTGGACTAGTGTGGGTTACCTACTTGTTGGCAATTGAGTATTTGCTCTTCAACAGGGAGAAGAATTGTGAAGTTGAAAAAATGTATTTGTATGTAAATACTTTGACATTTTGGTTGTGCAGTTTCTTTCTCCTGGCTCTCAGAATATGTTTTACTTACCTTGAGAGATTTGAAACAGTGCATAAAAGAAGCATTTAAATGATCTTACATGGTGTTCATAGACTGTATGAATTGAAGTTGGATTTTAACTAACATATTTTTCTTTCCTAGAACTAAGCCATGAAATTGAAGAAGATTTTTCTGGTAAGCTACCAAAAAATAATTACATGTATGCATGCACACATACACACACACACATACACACACACATGCACACAGGGGAGAGAGAGAGGGAAAGGAGGAGAAAAATCAGCATTTGTCTTATTCTTCATATGTATATTTTCATATTGCAAAACAAAGATGTGACATTTTCTTTATAAACAAATATGTTAATGTTTATAAATATATTCTCCCAGGTTTTTTCTCCATCTTTAATTTCCCCTTATTCCTTTCATCTCTCTACCCTTTCCTTTTTCTCTCCTTAGAAAAAAATTCCTGTCTTCTTTCCATTCTTCCTTCCCTCCTTATCTCCACCCCACTCCTGACATGCAGCCTGTTAAATATACTAGACCAGACAAATTTTTCTTAGGTGTATATATTTAAATATGTAATGTTAACAGAGCTTATTAAATTATGAATTTTTCTGCATATAAAAGTGCAATGTGGATTTTACAAAGCTGATAATAACATAAGATTCATAGAATGGTGGTTTTTTGGGTTTTTGTCCTTTGCTTTTAGCTTTATTGAGGTATAAATGACAAAATTATAATATATTTAATTGCATGATGATTTGATATATGTATACATTGTAAGAGAATTCCAAAAATCGAGTTAACACATCCATCACCTCACATATTTACTGTTTGTGTGTATGTGAGAACACTTAAGTTCCACTGTCTTAGCAAATTGGAATTGAACAGTATTATCAACTGTAGTTACCATAATTATACATTAGATCTTCAGACCTTATTCATATCTTAACTGAAAGTTTGTATGCTTTTGTCATCTTCTCCCCACACCTTACCCTTAGCCACTGGCGACCACCGTTCTACTCTCTGTTTATAGGAGTACATGACCTTTTCTTTTTTCTTTCTTTTTTTTTTTTTTTTTAAGACTCTACATATAAGTGATACCATGCAGCATTTGTCTTCTCTGTCTGGCTTATTTCATTTAACATAATGCCTCCAGGTTCATCCGTTTTGTTGCAAATGGAAGGATTTCCTTTTTTTTTTTTTTTTTAAGGCTGAATACTTCATTAGAGATATGTACACATATATCTGTAAATATATATACTTTTTTAAATATTAGTCCTTTCTTGTTTTAAAGTACTGTCAGAGTACCCTATACTGGTTCTGTGCCTTCTTTTTTTCCATATAACATAGTAAACTCTGTAAATTGTATAAAGTCAAGGACCATGTTTCCGTATTTGTTAAGCTTCAAATCAATGAATGTTCATTGAAATGAATGTATTTGACTAATCTATCTTAAAAAGTTATTGTTAAATTGCTATTGAATTATGTGTTTACAGTGAAAAAGAATAGAATGTTTCTAAAGACAAAATGAAATATACTTTAGGTCTTCAAAAGCATATTCAATTCATAAAATTTTATCAATATGTAAAGTCTATATCTCATTATTATACCCATATATTCTGCACTATCTTAAAAAGTCAAAAATAAAAAGATAATGTAAAGGGTTTTTAATTATTTAAGATTCATATGCACTTTTTAGTGATTCATGAGGCTTTTTCTGTGTTTACTAGGCTCAGTATTGATCTACTGAATTTAATCATAAGAACCTCTCAAATCTCAATTGAGAAATGTTAAGAGTATAAATAAATTAAATTTGCTCTTATGAGTCCATTCAATGACTAATTTATATGTCAGCCAGCCCCTTCCTTTTTTGTTTTGGTTTTTAGCTATGTGTTAATTACTTGCCATGTCTATATTTGAGTTTATATGAGAACTGTCAATACATATTAGTTTGGCCCTTGATAAATCAGTTTGAAAGAAGTTAACTTGAATCATAAAGTAAATTAAACTGGATTTAACATCACCTAAGGCATAAACAATTTTGATATGTATACAAAGTCTTACTAATGATCCCTGTTATTCCTATCAGATCAGGACATTTGTATTGTTTGAGAAAGATTGATTTTAGAATAATGTATTATATTTAGTTTCAATGAATACAAACGGAATTTATCTTTTCAGTGCGGGTTGTTGAGAATGTGGGAAAAATAGAAATTGTCCTAAAGAAAAAAGAGAATGCTTCTTGGAAACGTCTTGGTCACCCCCTCGAGAATCATAATTCACTTATTCCAAGGAAAGATACAGGTACGCTGTGCTGTTATTTTGAGTCCTCTGTTCATGAAAATATTTTGTCAGTAGTACAACTGTACCAGAATTTGGAAGGCCATTTTGAGATGAACCTTTAAGAAGTTGAGAAAGAACATAGTGTCTTTTTTACTCCTTTTTTAAAAAAAAATTTTTTAATGTTTATTTAAGAGAGAGAAAGAGACAGAGTGCAAGCAGGGGAGGGACAGAGAGAGAATGCAAAGCAGGCTCCAGGCTCCGAGCCATCAGCACAGAGCCTGACATGGGGCTCGAACTCATGAACCCCAAGATCATGACCTGAGCTGACACTGGCTGTTTAGCCAACTGAGCCACCCAGGCACCTCTCCTCTTTGTTTTCTTTTATTGAGGTATAATTGACATATAACATATACTAGTTTCTGGTGTGTAATGTAATGATTCGATATTTGTATACACTATGAAATGATCATCACAGTAAGTCTAGTTAACATCTGTCACCGACAGATTTTTTTCTTGTGATGAGTTCTTTTAAGAGCTACTTACTTAGCAACTTTCAAATATTCATTACTGTACTATTAGTCACCATGTAGTAATTATATCCCCATGATTTATTTACCTTTTAACCCATTCTCCTATTTTTCCCAACCCTGACCCCTGCCTCTGACAGCCACTAATTTGTTTTCTGTATCAGTGAGCTTGAGTTTATTTGTTTTGTTTTGATTTTTAGATTCCACATATAAAAGAAATCATACATGTTTGTCTTTCTCTGTCTGACTTATTTCACTTAGCATAATATCCTTAGGGTCCATCCATATTGTCCAAATGACAAGCTGACAAGGCTTTATTCTTTTTTAAAACTGCTGGATGGTATACCATTGTGTGTGTGTATGTATATGTATGTGTGTGGTGTGTATGTATGTATATAAATATATATACCACATCTTCTTTATCCATTCATCTATCAGTGGACACTTAACTTGTTTCCATATCTTGGCTATGGGGAGGTGCATGTATCTTTTTATATTAATATTTTATATTATATTTTTGTTTTCTTCAGATAAATACTTAGAAGTGGAATACTGGATCATATGGTAGTTGTATTTTTAATTTTTTGACAAACTCCATTCTGTTTCCCATAGTGGCTGCACCAATTCAGATTCCCACCAACAGTGCACAAGGGTACCCTTATGCAACTCTTATTTTGTGTTTTTGAGAATGTCAGTTCTCAGAGGTGTGAGGTGACAGCTCATTGTGGTTTTGATTTGCATTTCCCTGGTGATTGGTGATGCTGAGTACCTTTTTATGCACCTGTTGACCATTTGTATGTCTTCTTTGGAAAATGTCTCTTTAGGTTCCCTGAATTTTATTTTTAGATTTTAATCTGTTTTTTAATCAGATTGTGTTTTTGCCATTGAGTTGCATCAGTTCTTTATATATTTTGGATCGTAACCCTTTATCACATATATGATTTGCAAATATTGTCTCCCATTCAGCAGGTTGCCTTTTCATTTTGTTGGTGGTTTTCTATTATTGTAGAAGCTTTTTATTTTATTTTAAAAGTTTATTTTATTTATTTTTGAGAGAGCAAGGAAACAGAGAGGAGGGGCAGAGAGAGGGGACAGAGGATCCAGAGCAGACCTACACTGTCAGCACAGAGCCTGACGTGGGGTTCGAACTCACAAATTGCAAGACCGTGACCTGAGCCGAAGTCAGATGCTTAACTGACTTAACCCAGGGGCCCCTTGTAGAAGCTTTTTAGTTTGATGTAGTGTCTAACTTTAATTTTGCTTTTGTTGCCTTTGATGTCAGCTTCAAAAAATCATTGCCAGGATCGCAAGTAGCTTACCATCTGGTTTCTTCTTCTTGTTACAGGTCTTACATTCAAGTCTTTAATCTACTTTAGTTTTCGTATATGTTATAAGATACTAGTCTAGTTTCATTATTTCGTATATGGCTGTCCAGTTTTCCCAGCACCATTTACCTAAAGGGACTGTCCTTTCCCCATTGTATATATTCTTGCCTCCTTTGTCATAAATTAATTTACATATATGTGTAGGTTTATTTCTGGGCTCTCTATAATCTTCCATTGATTTATATGTCTGTTTTTATGACTCCCATATTGTTTTGTTTACCATAGTTTTGTAGAATAGTGAAAAAGGGGAGTATGGTACCTCTAGCTTTCTTTCTTAAGATTTAAGATTTCTTAAGATTGCTTTGGCTATCTGAGTTTTTTTGTGTGATTTCATACAAATTTTAGGATTATTTGTTCTAGGTCTGTGAAACATGCTATTGGTATTTTGACAGTGGTTACACTGAATGTGTAGATTGTTTTGGGGAGTATGGACATTTTAAAAATTTTTGTGGATTCTTCCAATTCATGAGCGTAGTATTTCCTTCCATTTGTGTCATCTTAATTTTTTACCATCTATATCTTATACTTTTCAGACTACAGGTCTTTTACCATCTAGGTTTTATTCTTTGTGATGCAATTTTAAATGAGATTGTTTTCTCAATTTCTCTTTCTGATAGTTCATTATTAGTGTACAGAAATGCAACATATTTTTTTGTATATTAATTTCGTATCCTGTAACATCAATTATTATTTCTAACAGTTTTTTGGTAGAATCTTTAGGGTTTTTTTAAATATGTAATATGTCATCTACAAATAGTGACAGTTTTACTTCTTCATTTCTAATTTGGGTATTTTTTATTTCTTTTTCTTGCTCTGGCTGGGACTTCCAATATTATGTTGAATAAAAGTGGGAGAGTCAGCATCCTTCTCTTGTTCCTGACCAGCTTTTTACCATTGAATATGATTTTAGCTGTGAGCTTGTCATTAGCAGCCTTTATTAATGTTGAGGTGTGTTCCCTTTCTACCCACTTTGTTAAAAGTTTTTATTATAAGTGAGTGTTGAATTTTGTGAAATGCTTTTTCTGCATCTGTTGAGATAATCGTATGGTTTCTGTCTTCCATCTATTAATGTAGTCTTATCACATTGATTGGTTTGTGGATGATGAACCATTCTCGTATCCCTAGAATAAATCCTTCTTTACCATGGTGTATAATCCTTTTAATGTATTGTTGAGATCAGTTTGTTAATATTTTGTTGAGGATTTTTACATTTATGTTCATCATGGTACTGGTTCTGTAATTTTCATCTCTTCTGGTGTCCTTGTCTCGTATTAGGGTAATACTAGCCTTGTAAAATGAGTTAAGAAGCATTCCTTCCTTTTCTTTTTTTGGGAAGGATTGGTATTAATTTTTCTTTGAATGTTTGGTATTATTCACCAGTGAAGATATCTGGTCCTGGACTTTGTTTGTTGGCAGGTTTTTAAATTACTGATTCAGTCCTTACTAGTAATTGGTTCATTCAGAATTTCTATTTTTTCATGATTAGGTCCTGAAAGATTGTATGTTTCTAGGAATTTAAATACATCCCATAGGTTGTCCAATTTGTTGGTGTATAATTATTCATAGAATTCTTTTATGATCTTTTACATTTCTGTGGTACCAGTTGTAATATCATCTCTTTTATTTCTGATTTTATTTGAGCCCTAATTTTTTTTTTAAGTCTAGCTAATGGTTATCCAATTTTATTTATCTTTTTAAAGAACCAATTCTTAGTTTCATTGATCTCTTTTATTGTGTTTTTAGTCTCTGTTTCATGTATTTCTGCTCTGATATTTAATGTTTTTTTCCGTCTACTATCTTAGTGCTTCATTTGTTCTTTTTGTCCTGGTTCCTTGATATATGAAGTTAGGTTGTTTTTTTGAGATTGTTTTCATTTATTGAGGTAGGCAATTGGTACTATGAAATTCCCTTTAGAAAACTGCTTTTGCTGTATCCCATATTTTGATATGTTGTATTTCCTTTTCATTTGTCTCAAAGTTTTTTTGATTTCTTCTTTTATTTGTTGACCCATTGATTGTTCAAGCATGCTGTTTCATCCAAAAATTCATCTGTGAATTTTTCACTTTTGTTCTTGTAATTGATTTCTAGTTTCATACCATTATAGTTGGAGAAGGTGTTTGATATGATTTAAAATTTGTTCTGTGGCCTAACATATGTTCTGTGTGCACTTGAGAAGAATGCATATTCTATTGCTTTTGGGTGGAGTGTTCTGTATATATCTATTAAATCAGTTTGGCCTAATGTGTCATTTAAGGCCAGTGTTTCCTTATTGATTTCCTTTCCGGTGTAAGTGGCATATCGAAGTCCATTACTATTAATGTATTGTCAATTTCTCCCAATTAGGTCTGTTAATATTTGTTTTATATATTTAGATACTCTAACCTCTGTTGGGTATATAATATTTACAAATGTTATATCCTCTTTTTGGATTGACCCCTTTATCATTATATAATGCTGTCTTTGTCTCTGATTACGGTCTTGGTTTTGAAGTCTATTTTGTGTGATAGAAGTATAGCCAACTCAGCTTTCTTTGGGTTTCCATTTGCATGGAAATTCCTTTTTTCATTCCTTTGCTTTCTATCTGTATGTGTCTATCTGAAGTGAGTCTCTTATAGGCAGTGTTTAGATGGATCCTGTTTTTTAATCCATTCAGCCACTCTATGTCTTTTGACTGGAGAATTTAGTCTATTTACATTAAAATGATTATTGATAGGTATGTACTTTTTGCCATCTTGTTAATTGTTTTCTGATTGTTTTGTACTTCCTTTCTTCTTGCTCTCTTCCGTTATGATGTGATGACTTTCCTTAGTATTATATGTAGATTCCTTTTTTGTTATCTTTAGTGTTTACACTATAGGTTTTTGCTTTATGGTTACCATGAATGAGGCTTACATACAAAAATCTATATTTGTAATGGTCTATTTTAAATTGATAACAACTTAAGTTTGAATGCATTCTACAACTCTACATTTTTGATGTTACATTTAACAAGAACTTTTTTCTTGTGTAAACCTTAAGTAATTATTGAAGTTGCAGTTGTTTTTATCACTTTTGTCATTAACCTTCATACTAGCTTTATAAGTGATTAATCTACTACCTTTGTTATATA